ACATGATGACTAAAATCCTACTAGCGGTGAGGCATACAATCACCCACAATTTATTGACACTATGCACCTCCCCTTAGGTAACTAGCATAAAGACGCCAATAGGTGGTAGTAAATAGCAGTATACGTGCAAACTACAAGACCAAATGCAGGTGGTGTGACTTCTGCAGTCAAAACAATATTTGGAGATAAGCAATTTGCTTTTCTTCCCATGAGAATATCCGAACAGATCATCCAGTGGCTGAATTCAGATGTAGAACTGAAGCAAGGCTTTGCATTATTAAGAGGAATGGCCATGAACCCTGAGATCTTGTCCTTTTATCATTTCTCATGGGTGTTGCTACGGAGAAGAGTGTGTAAACTGTTGCTCCTGTTTTACACATGCTATAAATGGTGGTGTCAGAACCTAGATCACCTATGGTTAGTTAATGCTTATGCCCTAATAAAATTGATTAGTCTTCCTGGTACTTCTAGATTTTGGGTATATATGGTTAGTCTTGACTATTTTAGTAAAAACAAGCCAAATTCAACTGTATATTTCTCCCCAATTACATCTGCCCGTCCCATCAGGTCTGGCAGAGAAGGCGTGCTGCGAGTCCTGTCTGCCAGGGAATTCCATTTGGTGGGTCCCAGGAAGTGGGCCTTCTCTGCTGTGGCACCCACCTTGTGGAATCTTCTCCCCCCAGAAGTGAGATTAGCTCCATCCCTCTCAACAGTCCAGAAGTCCCTCAAGACCTGGCTATGGGATCAGGCCTGGGGCTCCCAGGGGACCGGGGAGATTTTCCAATGGCTCCCTTATTATTATTAATTTTGTTTGTGATTGTTTTTATGTATTTATTCTTTTTAATTGTTGTACGGTGCCCAGAGTCATTTTTATGTGAGATGGGCGGCTATATAAATATGACAAACAAACAAACAAATAAATGGTTAGTCTTGACTATTTTAGTAAAAACAAGACAACTTCAAGCTTTGGGTACTAGGACTGCTTTGTTTTCACTGCTCTTAGTTAAGCTCACCCAGTTTAGGATTCTGATGCAAAGTAAAAGTGTCTACTGTAATATAAAGCATAAATGTAAGCTACTGATGTTTCTTTTTGGAGATATTGGAGGCAAAAGAAGTACTGCAGCCTTCCCTAGTTAATAGTAAATAATAACTTGGCCGCTTGATCCATTTCAACAGTCACTTATCAGCCCTTATTTAGTAAATAAAGTTATAGTTTTCCAATCTTGGCTTAAGGAATCTTACCTGCAGGTCTTTTTTAAAGTATAATATGCCATGGATCAAAGCTGAATTCAATTATTCTTACTATTTTACTGTTCAGCTCTTGTCCATCGAATTTAATTCAGCAAATAATCTATCAGAGCTAGTTGGGTGCAGAGGTTAAAGGCACCAGATTAGAAACGGAGAGACCCTGAGTTCTAGTCCTGCCTTAGGCATGAAGCCAGCTGGCTAACTTTGGACCAGTTGTCCTCTCTCAGCCCTTGGCAAGCCACTTTCAAAATTCTTGCCAAGAACACTGCAGGGCCTTGTCCAGCCAGTCGCCAGGAATCAAGGCTGACTCAAAGGTACCAAGGAAAAATATCCATGATCAACACCTACATTACTCTACCCCACAGATGCAGGAAACGTTTCCAACTTTTGAATGGGTTGATTTGAAAACTTTTAGTTGTTGTCACAAGTGTTATATTCTGCCCTTAATCTATATGATGTTTTAAATGCAGCCAACTGAGTGTGAGAATGGGTGGGAATATGGATTTTTTTAATAAAAAAAGATAACGCAATGCCTCCACAGTTGAAATCCCCTCCCTCCAATGGCAATAATATTTGTCTTTTTAATAAATTACAGTAGATCTGGTTGTTGATCTTTTGTGGCCTCATCTACAGGATACTGATTATCCTGTGGCTTCTGACATGTTGCCAGATTTGTTATGACATAAGCTTTCAAGGCCAATTCCTGCTTCGTTAGCTTATGGTGAGGAATGTCTTTTATATATTATATAGTTTATGCCACACCAAGCCTCAGAGTATAAACAGCTACCTGCTCTACGTTGTAGAGGCCCAAGATAGATAGTTGAACAGAAGACCTTCCCTGGAAGTAGACCAGTGTATTTATTGCTGGTCATATTCATTGCTTGAGCAAAGAGAGTGGTATTTAATCCAGAGCTCATGTGATGCATCTTTTGATGTTTTCAGAGTGCGAGAAGGATGAATCCTGTGGGTTTCTTACCATGTCAGCCATGGGCTCGGAAACGTTGTGTGAGCTGTACAGTGCTCGGGAGAGCAATTACAACTGCTCTACTTCTGGACTGGTAACCACATGCATTTGTTTTATGAGGACAACATAGTGAACCAGAAGTGATACTTGCTCCCTTTAGGGGTGCCTCTGAGATCCATCAAATGAATGAGGCTCCATTATCAGCTAGAAAGCTGAAAAATGGTGGCATTAAGAAAGCATCTTAAGATTATCAGGAGCCTAACTCGTGTCATGGGAGTGGATGTTCCTCCATGCCCATTACAAGTACGATGCTGGAGTATAACAATCCTGCAGCCTGTGTCATCTACCACAAATTCACTTTTTCTGAATATTTCTTCTTCTTAGGTTCATGGTGTTTGGGATAATTCTCTCACCACTAGCATTGCTAGTCTCAGCTGCCTAATTAAAGTGAGAAGCCCAGATAAGAAAAATTCATTGAGCGTGTACTTGAAAAAAGGTATGTACAGAACAACCTTAATTACTCATGGTCTGTTCGAGAGAATACCACCAACAATTTTTATCGTTTAGAGCTGTGATGCTCAGGCTGGGGTCCACAACCGTTGGTGGTGTTTGGACATCTATGAGGTGGTCTGCTGAAGCTGGCCAGACCCTGCTTGCCACCTCACCTATTGCTTCCCTGTGTTTGCTGCCAATCAGTTGGCTTGTGAAAATGGATCAATAGCTAAAAATGAATTCATTGAAGCAAGCAAGCCTACAGAGCAATACAAATAACAATATGAGTACTCAAATTCAGAAAACTGACAATAGTGCGCTGGACTCAAGTACAGTTACTGATGATAAATCTGCAGGTATTGTGCTAAACAATCTCCAATGAAAGAAAATAGGAAGTATGAAGATGAATATCTAAAAATGAGAGGCAGATCATCTCTAGCCCCTTAATACAGTGAAATCTCCATTTAACAGACCTCAATTTAACAGATTTCAGATACAACAGACACATCTTAATTCTGGACATACTTCCCAAATAATGGACAAATCCCATTAAATTGAGGCTTTACTGATGCTTCTGGGAAAGTATTTGAATATCAGGGTAGGGCGGCTGATAGGAAGATTTGGACTGCAGATGGAAGATGTGGGTGGGGGCAGAGGTAGGCTGGCCAGGAGGATATATGTAGCCTTGGATCAACCATTAAGCAACCTAGGCAAGTGCTTAGGACGCCAAGGGAAGGGGGCACCACAGAGTTTTTTCCACTAGCTGTCATGCCCTGAACTCTTTCACTGCCACACTCAACTTTAGCGTTTAGCACTTATAGAGTCTTAATGTCTTGACAGTTAAGCAATGGAAGGGCTGAGGGGCACCATTGTTGAGTTGTGTTTAGGGCATCAGTTGGCCATAATCCAGCCCTGGGTATAGGTGATGTGCCAGCAATGGTGGCAGCAGTGGGAAGTTGGGGGCTTGGTGAAGAAGGGAAAGATTACACTTTTTGAAATGGTTGGACATCTAGCACAAGGGCTGGGAAGTGACAAAGAGGGTGGATTGATATCTTCAGTTGTTGGCAACTGCAAGGAAGTTGGGGAGGAGTATGGAGATGCCCTTGAAGAAAATATGTGGCAGCCATTACAAAAATATCAGCTTAGCCCAGAAGGACAGGAAGAAGTGAGGAATAAACTCAGGATTGGCCTGTCTTGACTCTTTGGGGCATAAGATGGAGCGAAAGAATTAAAAAAAAACCTGTCAGGCTTTCAAGGTTCTGGTGTTATAGTCTACCTCAGCCTATCTGATATTTCTTGTGGTGTCTGTTTCTTGCAATGGGGGAGCAGGATATTAACAGGACATGAAACTTTGTGTAGTATTCTCCTTGTTTTCACGTAATGTACAATCTTCTACACTTTCTGTTTTATTATATTGATAAAAGCCTAGGGTCCTGCTACAGTATAGCATCACACTAGGATACTGAGTGGATGGATTCTGGGGAAGGATGGCATCCATGATCTTTAATTGTAGCTTGGTTCTTGATGGCTCCTGTGGATATGAATTACACAGTGCACAATCTGAGATACAACAGAGCAGTCAAAAAAAATTCTGCCTCACCTCAAACCAGGAGCCAGTAATTTTTTTAAAGGACTTTTGGAATTTCAACAGTGTGTTGTGGATGTTCTCACAGAATAGTTCCAGTTGAGGGAGCAGGGTATTAAAAACAGTTGTCCCTTTGTTCCCAGGACAAGAATTCACTACAGCAGGAGTCAAGACATTTGAGAAGACTGATTTCCAGGATGTTGTTTCTGGCGTGTACAGTATTCGGGTAGTATCAGCAGCTGGTACATCTTTAACAGATGTTCATCTCTTTTGCCGCCAAGTCTGCCATCAAGATGCTTGCTGTGATGGCTTTATCTTAAGCCAGCTCATACTTGATGGAGGTAATTGTTTAGACTACAGCTATGGATGAGAAGTTCATCCTTCCATTTATACCATATAGTAAGAAAGAAGCCAACTGGAACAGAAATCTAGTTTTGTTGATCTTAGGATCTAGATAATAAATTTCTATGTAATTAATTTTAAATCAAGGCAACTTGTTATGACATTTAATTAGTGATAATGGTTAGGCTTGCAAATGTCATAGTTTATGATTCATGGAGTTATGTGTAACTTCTCTAGGACGCAAGAATAATTGCAGAAGAAATTGAAGAACTGCAGCTTCTTTCTCTGTAACAATTTTGTTGTTGTTGTTCATTAAATGTTTATAAACATGCCAGTGGCTCTCTTTTTCAAAATGGAGAAGTCCTGATCCAGTCTGTATCCTAGAATGGTTAAATGGCTAAACTAGGACTGGAGAGAACCAAGTTTAAATCCTCACAACTATGAAGCCCACTGGGTGATCTTGGATCGCTCTTCATCTTACTGCTGAATTTATCAGCGTTATTGTGAGGATGAAATGTGGTGGAAGAAGAACCACATGAGCTGCCTTGAGCCTTTTATAGAAAAGGCAGGATGTAAGTTGAACAAAGTAAGAAAATGTTGAAAAATAAAATATCTTTACTGTCAAGAGTCCTTCAAATTGCCTAGTTAAAAATAGATAGGTGATTTCAGAGTTGAATTTATAAATCAAAACTTCAGATGAGGGATGAATGGACCATACTTTGCTCCATTTATCCATAGACAAATTTGCCAGACCATTTATGGTTATATGAGGGTTGGACTTAAATGTAGAAGGTGGGTGAGAATCACAGCAGTGTGGGGTATTTACACGGGAGCTCCTTTTTGCTCTGGCATTTCTTGGAATGACCATGTAACCACACCATATTTCAGGCTTGGCTTTGCCTGGACCATGCTGAAGTGGTAGATCTAATCTGTGATACAGATTAGATGTTCCTAAGGAACTAAGGTTGTGCCTGTGTCTTTTCAAGCATTTTCCAAGATGAGTTGGATGGGATGAGTTCTTTTATACTTCCTGAGAATGGCGCAGTAAGCCTTCTAGAGCAGAATTACTGAAAAGGCCAGTTGAACTCTTCTCCAAGATTTGGCTGCCAGGATCAAACGATTACCCAGATTCATCAAGAAAGAAAGCAGAACTGAACCCTGTAAATCTTTTCTTGGCTGTATCCAGGTAGTATTGCATGTAGTCTACTGAGTTCTCCAGGTGCATTGATCTGCAACCTTAATGATTGGGATGGAAGCTCAACCCGTCAACAAGGTGATATATGCCAACGAACAAAGTACAAGGAAGGGAGGAGCCAGTACACAGTCCGAATTGGAGACCAGGTGCTTGCTGGAGGTAAGTGGCTCAAAGCCTTGTTCACAGAATATGCTTGCTTCACCAGGTCAGTTAAAAGACTTAGCAGCTTCAGTTCCCCAATACAGGTAGTCCTTGCTTAATGACTGTTTGTTTAGCAACCATTGAAAGTTACGACAGTGACTTACAACCAGTGGTCAAAGTTACGACCATCATAGTGCCCCCACAGTCACATGATCATGATCTGGACACTTGGCAACCAGCTCGTATTTACAATGGTTGCAGTGTCCAGGGGTCATATGATTGCCACTTGTGACCTTCCCAGCTGGCTTCCCACAAGCAAAATCAATAGGGAACCATGTGATTCACTTAACGACCACGTGATTCGCTTAACAATCACTCAATTAACTTAATGACTGCAGTGATTCGCTTAACAACCACCACAAAAAGGGTAATAAAATCAGGTCTGGTCATCTTATAATTCACTTAATGACCGCATCGCTTAGTGACCTAAATTCAGGTCCCAATTGTGGTCATTAAACAAGGACTACCTCTATGCTCACTGTGGTTAGTTTTAATCATGGTTAAACCTGAAAGCAGGTAACATTTTGTTATATCATCCTCAATATATTAGTCACTTTTTAAAAACACAGATTGACTTCTAAGGGCTTTACAGGGTGGGGCAATAAAGAGGGTGGCAGTTGTGAGATTCTTTGTCCCCATTTATGTTTTATAGGGCTTGGATGTTTTGTTTTGAAGTGAAAGTGATGTAATGAGTTTAGCAAAGTATTTTAATCAACTCATGAATGTGCTACTAGAAGATGTGGTGGTGGTTTCTAGCTTCAATCGCTTTAAATGATAAGGCTGCCTGTTCCTTTTAGAATCAAAGCGCTGTGCCTCTTGATATCTGTAATTGAGGAGCACAGGAATTACAGTCATCGTTTGCAGATTTCCCCGGGGGGGTCCAGGTTGGTTCCTCTAGGTAACAAAATTCTGAACTTCGGCCTAATCCAGCTGGGTTCTTCTTGTCAGATCCTAAAAATGTAATTAGGCATCGTTTCCGATTCTAGACCAAACCCCATGTCTTTAATCCTGCCTTTATCTGTATTTCAAAATCAGCAGACCTGCTGCGTTAACTTACTTATTTTTCATTCTGCTGTCCGGTGCTCAAAATGGATGCCCATGGGGACTGCGGTGTCGTCCTCCTTGGAAAAGGAAGTCAACAATATTTGTTTTCCTCTTTAGCTTCTGAGCTTGCAGATAACGCGGAAAACCCCTTCACCAGCTTTCAGCGTGTTTATCTCTGGAGAGGTAAGTGGTTTTGCAGGGGTTTGCCAGGTGTCGGTCTGGAAGGAAGAAGTCCATAAATCTGTCTCAGCAGAATGGGGTTCAGTTACGTCTTTTATGTGTGGAATAATCTGATGGGCCCATTCCTATATTCCTATGTACATATATATACTTATGTGTATGTGTACACATAAACCTGCATGCACACATATGCACATTCATATTCACACGGCCAGCTAGGTGGCAGCACCTGGTTACATTTGGCTGATCCCAAAAAACCTAAGCAGGGCTAGATTTCGTTAGTATTTTTATGGGTAACAAGCCAGGAAAACCTCAGTTTGTGTAGGCATCCATGCCAATACAACTATATGGACATACTCAAGTATTCATCAGGAGTTGAGCTCCTGTTGAGGCAGCCGTTATGTTTTCCCTTTGCGCACACACACACACACAGTTCTACAGATCAGCTTCTGTCTCATTTGAATTATTGATTCAGTTTGAATTTTCAGTGCCATCTGATCCTATAATTAAAATCAATTTGATTTGATGCATGCAAATGGTTGAATCTTTTTGCAGGCATCCCCTTGTTTAGATGTTCCGATCTGATTTGGAAAGTGCCTCTCATTTGGAAGTGTGTTCACATGCATAGCCCTGATATATATCCAAACTGCTTCAACATTCAGCGTTGCAGAAAACGAAGTAGACATACGGACGGCTGTTAGACAGAATCCTTATAATTTAAATAGCAATACAACTGTTGTGGCTGCTATGAGAAATATTGTACCCTGAGACCTGCACCTGGTATCTGTACGGCTCAGAAAATTCCCCACTGAAGAGGAAGACCTTTTAAATTTAATTTACCTTTAAACTGTACTTGACTAGATAGCCCTTCCTAAAATCAGATTGGGCTGCCATGCTTTCAGATATTGAACTGTCCTCCTTAAAGGAGACATGCCATATTCCAGGATATGGTATTTCATTTCCAATCTCCTCTCAGATTGTAAATTTTCCCCCTTCACTTGTAGCTCCAGAGCATTTCAGTTCTAACTGGGTTCTTATTGTCTTCCTGTCCAAGAGAATATCAGTATTAAAAATGTGGCTTAAATTCTGTTGGGTTGCCTCTTTAGATTCCACCATGATGACCCGCAATGGATGGACCATGTGTGATGCTACTGTTGTTCCAACACAGACTAAGTCTCTTCTATCAGGTAAGTATGGGCCATACATCTAAATGTGTAGAAGTAGATTTTTCACAGTAAAAGAACTGCTCTCCTCAATCTGCTACCCTCTAAATATGTTCAGATTACAAAGTCTAGACTATCCAAGGGCAGCCCAAATTCATGGTGACCTGGGATTTTGGGATTTGTAGACCCAACCCATGTAGAAGAAAGCTAATATTGAACATTGATAGTGTTGTGCTTGTTTTTTGGTTGAGCATTAAACCAGGATTAGATCGGAGGTTCCTCATTCCCCTGAACAACATACCCTATTATTATCCATGCCTTTCTAGGTCAACAACCTCATTCTTAGCTTAAACTTTTATTTTGCTTGTGATTAATGTTTGATGTTAGGGCAGTAGTGAGCAAGTTCTCAAGGAAAAAGGCTTAATTTTAGCTTGCTGCCTGGTGGGCCAGTTTTTTTATTTGCAGAAAACTTTTTAATGTACGGTGGCTGTCATCCTGACCTGTAGGAGCCATTACTTGAGAACTCATCTACCTTTCTTCTCTGTGTTTAGACCAGGCCTGAGTTCTGCACTGAATTATCAAAGTAGCATACATTGAATAAAGTCTCAGAGCTATTTCTTCTGACATGCAGCCTTTATTTTTAATATATTTCCTAAGGGTAAACCTTGTAAACATTCTGTTGTTCCTGATGAGTTCAGTTGACCTATTCCCAACTAAGTATGCACAGAATTGCAGCTTTAATTACAAACATTAACAACAAGTAAGAGTGTAATGGTTCAGGTCTTGAACATGGTGGACTTCAACAGTCCAACCTAACTCACAGGGTTGTTGTGGGGGTAACATTAAGGAAGACCTCTGTGTATGTCACCTTGAGCTCTTATGGGAAAAGCCAGGATAGAAATGCATTAATAAAATAAACTACAATCTACATTAAACCCATGAACTGGGATTTTCTTTTCCCTTTTCAACAAATGATGTTTTTTTTTTCTGTTCTAGCAGGCTTTTAGCCTTGAATTGGTCTTTTCTGTTCCTCTGATGCATATAAACATTTTCTTTTAAAATTTGTTCTTTTCCCTATAATTTGAAAGAATTTTAAGCCAGGAGTTTTAACCGTAGCTTGTTGCACAAACACTAATCTTTTGGTTGGCACATCATATTAAGCTATAACAGTTGGGCTCACAATGTTATGTGTGAATGGGACTATTGCATCCTTCTGAGAAAGTTTCTGATTTATTGTATTTTATTTATTGGGATAGGAATATGGAAGGGCTGGATACAATAGGATGGGGTTGTTTTCACTAAGGAAGAGGAGGAGCATGTATTAAAACTTTATGTGTGTCTTTCCTCTTTGTGTTCATCAGCTTCTACAAAGGAACTCTTTTCTATAGTGGAAAACAACCAAATTCTGACTGAACCAAATCGTTCTCTGCCTTCCCAAAAATATTGGCTTTTCAAGCACAGATACTCAGCTGAAGAGGTTCTTGTTTGGTGTCTTGCACGTAAGAAACTTTAGGTCATGGGGAAATGGTCACACTACTGATTACTTAAGGTCCTAGACATGCTCTAATCTTTCTAGAATGTTTACAACATTCTGTTAGCATACCAAGAGAGAAATGAAAACTCAAAAGCTGGTTTTTAAAAAGTTGACCCTAATGTGGATGTGAAAACCATAAATCTGATAATAGGCAAACTGAGACTTTGAGAGTAAATGGCATTCACTACCTCTAGCAAAGCACATCCATTTTCATTAAGCTATCTCAGTCTCTTATCAAGAAATCTCATTTGCTTATTAAGAAAGAAAGGCTTGAAATACTACCTAGTGAAGCGAGGGAAGCAGTAAAGCGTAGCATTGTGTGAAAAGAACAGATTGATAATCATCTTGTATCATGATATCATATGGGGAATTTCTTGACTGAGGAAAATGTCAGACTTCCTATCTTGATGTTTCCCAGATATTTTAGTCTGCAGTTCCCATCATCTCTGACCACAAGCAATACTCCCAAATCTTCTGGGGAGCATCAGACTAAAAAGGTTGAGTTTCAGACTATCTGCTTCTTGCAATATGGTTTTAGTCATTCAAAATTGGAAGGGGAAACTTCCATTGATTAATGCCTGGAAAAAGAACATTTGTTTTAGGATTTTAGGACACAAAGTAATTCCTTATAAGAATTTTTCAGGAGGCTATGGAAACAAAAGAGGTTCTTTAGAAGATTAGCATGAACCTCTATAGCACCTTTCATCAATCGGGAGTTTTCTAAGTGTGTTGGGGTTACGTTTCCTAGAATTTTTAGCCAATGTGGCAAAATATATCTGGATGGGGCAATCCTTTAGAAGGATATTCTTCTACAGTATTAGAATGTAGGAACTCATCATCCAAGTTTTGGAGGAGTGATATTAGGGACTGCTTAACCAGTCAGTTATAGCCTGATGGACTGAAAAAACTGGAACAAAAGTGTTTATTTACTTATATTTACTATATTTTTAAAAAAATTAAGTAGACCATCATTTATTTGTAAATGGCTGTATTGCAATTATTTATTTGTAACAAGGCAAGAATAATAAAAGTGGTAATCATGAATTGTTTCTCCTCTTTTCCAGGTTGTGTAGAAGATGAGTTTTGTCTGCTGGCCGATGTCCCGAATAACACAGACACGGCGTTCTTTCCTTGCACCCTCTATCCAGCAGCACAAGTCTGTAACACTTTCATTAACAATATCCCTAACAACTGCAAGATTGTGCTACCGCAAAAGCCCCGTCTTTTATATCAGAAGATTGGTGAGTTAATGGTCCTGTTAATTCATGCTTATTCCCTACATGAATAAACTGGTGTCATAGGAAACAAATGAGGGTGTGGGGAAAGGATTTCCTGATTGTAAGAAGAATTTGACTGCATTGGGGTTTTATGCTGACCTCCCCTCCAATGAAGACAATGGTCAGATAAAAGACATCTGAATCTGGGCAGAACTATAACCTAAGCAAACATCTCAGACATGACCTTCCCTAGTTCTCATGAAAATAAAGGGGAGGTAGGAGGGAAATGCTTTCAGACTTGCTAGATTATATTACTATAACCTTATAATAGAAGTAGTATTAGCTTGTGTGTCTTTGGTTTCCACATTTCATCTACTTTGGAGGGTTGACCTCAACTTCTACCAGAAGGTGGATAATAGGATCTCACTGACAATTACCACTGCATTTTGTACCAATCAAAGCTTCCAGGTGGTCTTTAAAGGCAGCCCCATGTAGAGTGCATTACACATAGTGATCAGGAGACAGGGTGACAAGCTAGGGACCACACTTTGCCATCCACATGCTGGGGCCCTCCAATAAAAAAATGCCAGTGAAGCTAAAACTCAGACTAAAATTGTTGCTACTCTATTTACAGTAATTTTTAAAATTAAAATTATATTTACTTCATATGATTGCTATCCTGTCACGTACTGTATTCAATCTCTACCTCCTTCTTTCACATTAATAATTGCAATTTGGTAATAAGCTTTGGAAGGCTGCACTTTACACTTTTGGGAGCACCATGCAATTCTTCAGATCAAATCAAATCTTTATTATGGTCATAGACCAGCATTATGCAATTCTTGGCTCTCAAAATTTACACCCTTGTCCAGTATAAAGCAAATGTACCCACCCACATGAACGGAATTAGCTTTGGAACTAAAACTCCTGATTCTTTTTTTATGGTTGATTTTGCAGTATCTCTTGAAGGGAGCGTCAAAAACTTTTACACCCGTCTACCATTCCGTAAAATGTCTGGAGTCTCTGTGAGAAACAAGATGGATATGTCTGGAAAAACAGTGTCAAATGGGTAAGTTTTCTTCCTGTTGTGTTGCATGTATGGCTCCTTCCCCTTTTTTCGACATCTTGAAGAGGCTCCAATCTCTTGCTCAAGACCACAGGGCAGTGTTTCTCAACCTTGGCAACTTGAAGATATGTCAACTTCAACTCCAAGAATTCCCCAACCAGCCATGCTGGCTGGGGAATTCTGGGAGTTGAAGTCCACACATCTTCATGTTGCCAAGGTTGAGAAACACTGCCATAGGGGATAGACTGTGCACAACAAACTTTTTCCACTCAACCTCCCCAAATCTGCACATAATATGTCTAACAGCAGTCTGCCATAAATAAGACTGCAGGGAATTTAAACATTGGTTTAATGTGCCAGTGTAATGACCCAAGCAAATAGCCATCATCACCTTGTTTAGTTGTTTGGATTTTTTGTGTGTACAAAGCATAGTTTTCTATAACCACATTTTTACCACAGCTGGATAAAGCAGGAATCAAACTGACAAAATTTTATTTTTAGAAAATAAAATAAAAAAAAATTACAGGAAAAGGGCTGAAAAACAGAATGGTTGCATAATGTCTTAGCGTATGTACTGAAAATAATACATGTATTAGCAAGAAAAATGTTGGGAGATGACTCAAAGACAGCTTGTTGTTGGATAAACATTGTGAAATGGGTACTCCATCACAGCGGTTAGCCATCTTTTCTGGTCCTGGACTCTGCCTGCAAAGTCTGAAACAGTTTGAGAAATGAGAAAATCTTACAAGATGTTGATATCGTCACATGGGACTTTGTAAAATTTGGGCTATATGGCCTACTCCAGTTCTGTCGGTCTGTCTTCCTACCTACCTTCCTATCTACCTAGATCATCCCAGGAGATGTTCTCAAAAGGCACACACTTTGGACAGGTCATAACAATATATATTATAAAAGAAACAAGTTCAAGCAAAATAATAGAACCACTCTGTAACATTGCTGGATCCCAGTTGTTCATTTAAATTCTGCTGCAGAATTCTTCTCTCTCATGTATTTAAGAAAATCATTAGACTCTGCTTTAGAGATTGTTTTAAAAAAAATCACAGTGGCCTTAATACAACTTGGTATTCCTGTTATTTGCTTCTGGTTTGGAATGCAAGTTTCATTCAGGTTGCTAAGCTCAGGAAGTCATTTATCCCAGGAATTAAGGTATGAAATGCGTTCATTTTCTTCTGTTTTTCAAATTCTGTCTTTTATTCTCTCCAGTTTTTTTGACTGTGAACGGCTTTGCGATGCTGATCCTTGCTGCTCAGGTTTTGGACTTCTAAATGCTTCCCAAGGCACAGGTATTTTTTATTCATTCATTATAAACCTTGCAGATTTTTTTCCCCCCTCTAAGGTAATCTGCATCCTATTTCACTGTGGTTCACAGCATATAAACAAACTCATGTTTGTTGAGCCATGTACCTGGTAATGCAGTAATTACTCTGGATAAGAAAGGAAAGTGGATTTATTTGATAGAGACCTGCAGCAAAAGTCAGGCACCATAGAAGCTTTAATGGAAACTGCTGAGGTCTGTGGATTATCAGGGTCTCCATACTGATCCTGAAACTTCCTGGTTTTGAAGCCAGGAAACTGTATCCATCTCTGTTGTTTCTGTTGCTGGTTAATCTAAGTCCTCATAGAAGACAAAGGGGCAGGTTATTTCTTTATGTCAGCACTGCACAATGGACTTGAACAGAGAACAAATGTATATATATTTGTGAAACTGGCCATAAGGAATCGAAAGCAGGTCACGCTGACAAAGAGTCATTGATCGGTTCTGTGCTATCAAATCATTTTTGACTCCTATCAACCACACAGATAGATTTTCTCCAAGACAACCTATCCTTAACCTGATCTTTTGGGTCTTCCAATGGTGCCCCCACTGCCACTGTAACTGAGTCCATCCCCCTTTGCTGCTGCTTCTTCTCTTTCCTTCCACCTTTCCCAGCATCAGAGCCTTCTCCAGAGAGCTGGGTCTTCACATCATGCGTCCGAAGTAGGATAATTTGAGCCTGATCAATTGTGCCTTGAGTGAGGACTCTGGGGATCTGTCAGAATCTCCTGCTTAGCTTTTTTCCTAGCAAAGAAATGTGTGTCTCTAGAGCCTACCAGACCTGGATAGTTTAGATATGTTTTTCAGTCTTGCTTTTAAAGGTTGAACATTTTCTCTTCTGCAAGTTTCTGGTCCAGGCCAGATCACAACTGAGGCTGGATAGAGCACTTATTCTAGAGTAGATGCCTTCTCGGTGGTTGTAATGGTTTGCATTCAACCCTTTCTGGAGCCCAAGATGTTCCATCCCCTAAGCTTGAAACAGTTGTTTCAAGTGTTTTGACCATCCAAGAAGTGTATCGCCATTAAAATGAGGCTGTGTCAAGGTCAAAACAATTTCAGAATGGTTGAAACAATGTGCTTCAAACTCAAGGCAACTGTTTTGGACTTAAAAAAGAACATTTTGAGTTCATACTATATCAACCTCCAACTTTTGCACAGCCATCACACCTTGCTTTTTTAAAGCCTGGCAAACTAATAGCAAAACCAAGGTCTTTGACATGTACAGTATTTTTTCCTATGTGCTTCCTAGATTGACCATGGTATCATGCCATGTTTTGTGATTGCATGGTCATTCCAAGAAATAGTGGTAAGGAAACCTAGAGTCTTTTAAGAGCCCAGTTCTGCTATGAAAGCATACTTTTTTGAAGGTTAAAAATAAGGGATACCCCAACCTCATACAAGACTCATCCATGCTTATCATGGATTTCTTGAGGGAGAGGGAAGAATAGTTCCTAACTAGGATTTGATCTACTAACCTCAGTTTTGCCTAGGATCAGCTGTAAACAAAATATCCAAATTCACTCCCAAAGGATTTGGTGGGGAATTTGATTGATTGATTTATAAATCATATTTATATGGCCGCCCAACTCACAGAACATGACTCTGGATGGCATACAATAAAACCATAAAATAACAATATTAAAACAGAATGTCATTAAAAACATTGATGCTGTTATTAAAAAAGGCTAAGTGAGATTTTTAGATATTATGAACAGTGAAGCCACCTAAGGAGATCAGTGTTCCCTGGAGACTTCCAGGCTTGTTGACAGAGCCAAGCTTTGAAGGATTTCTGGAAAGATGGGAGGGAAGGGGCCAATTTCACCTTGGGTGGGGGGATGCTGTTTCAGAGTGGGTGCCACAGCAGAGAAGGCCCATCTCCTGGGTCCTGCCAGATGTAGCTCCTTAGCAGATGGGACCCAACGCATACCTCTTCTGCTGGACTTGATGGAACAGAGAGGTATAATCAGGAAGAGGTGGTCTTTCAAGTACCCTGGCCCCATGCCATGATGGGCTTTAAAGGTCAAAACCAGTACCTTGAATTGCACCTGGAAGCAAACTGGCAACCAATGCAGCTCACAGAGCAGAGGTGTAACATGTGCTGTTGTAGAAGCACACATAACTGCATGTGCTGCCACATTCTGCACCAGCTGAAGCTTTCCGATACTCTTAAAGGGCAGCCCCACGTAAAGCACATTACAGTAGTCCACACAGGAGATGAGCAGGGCATGAGTGACTATGAGCAGACGCTCCTGTTCAAGGAATGGGCGCAACTGTTACACAACATGAAGCTGTGCCATCATTGCTCTCTTAAGTCTTCTCCCTATTTAGCTTGTCTATGTGGTTCCTGCTAATGGAGCCTCCAGAGTATGGACCTGATGTGTAGTCTTGAGCCAATTCTGCTTTCTGCTTGGTTACAGTTGGAATAGACCATTTTAACCATGGTCTCCATCACTTTTCATTGTTGGTGTCCAAAGTGAACCATCCTGTCTCCTAATGCCCTTGCTGACCTTCTCTGAACCTGTTTCAATTTGTCTGAATTCTTCTGATGTTAAGTTATGCAGAACTGGATATAGTACCTGATGGAGGCTGACCATGATTTGCAAACCAGGTTCTGTTGAAACTACCTAGACTTGTATTGCCATTTTTCTGGCAGCCACGTCACACTGCTGATTTCATGACAGCAAGCAGGATATCTCTCTATTGACCAGAATGTTTTTATTTCTTCAGTGATAAATTTATTGATGGATTATTTAAAAAATGCCAAGCACCCATAGAAAGCTATAGTAAATATGACAACCATAACTGTTTTCTCATTTCAGGCAGCAAGGTCTTGTGTTTGACTCTGGACAGTTTGGGAATTCAAACCTGCAGCAATGAATTCAGAAGTGATTGGCAGATCTTCAATTGTACATCTCTGGAAACTGAGGCCAGAGTTCATCCCTTTGGCTGGTATCAAAAATCCTGTGAGTAGCAAATTGCTCTTTTTGGGCCATATATAAATATGAGTTCAGTCTTATGATGGATACATCTGTAAATGGCAGAAGCCGCAGCATATTAGAGCTTATTGAGTTGATGCTAGGAAGGAATTCCAGAGGGACTTCTGTGGGAGGCAGAAGAACAAATATCTAATGCTTTTAGATATCAGTCCTTTGAGGGAGGTCAGGCTAAGGAACAGAAACCGCTGGGATTCCAGGAACGCTACTTTATTGTTGTAGGGTATTGTAACAGACTCTTGAAATCCTGTCCAATTTTCTCTCTTTCAAGTCTTATACTAAACAAAATCAAGGTGAGGTTATCTTGAGTTTCTTTCTCACCCTTCCCTTCTATCTCAGGACTGTGTAGTCTTTTCTGCAAGTCCCTCCTTAATAGTTCTTCCCCAAGGTCACCTCTAACTTCCTTTACACCAAGTGACAAATCTGTGATTGGCTGTACCACATCAAATGCAACTTGTAAAATCCCTGAGTACACATTGGAGTTTTGGAAGCTCCATTTCTATTAACATGTGAACTAGCCATACCTCCACCATCACCATGTTAGATTGAAACTGAGAAGAGTTTCCATGTACATGTTCATGTCTGTGCATCATCTCCTATTAGGGTCTCCCCGTACATAAAACTCTTTCAGATGTTAGCTGAGTGTATGGAGGAGATGGCAGAAGTTTGCAAGCCTCCCATCATTAAACATTTGCCAGAAAACACTTGCCAGAGTTCTACTCCTTTTTTTTTAGAATTCAAGGCAATCTTTTATTTTTAGTAATGGAGGCCACATATTCTTATTTATCGTGTTTGGAAAATCCTTCACATCTTTCCCACATGCTTCCTTGATTTAAGGACATAAAAAAGAGAAGCAGGAACAGAAACTCTAGCCAAAATAGGTAGGTCCAGATGTAAGACAAATTCCTTCAAGATGTTGCACCTTGAACAGATTGCCAGATGTGATCCAAGACATTTTGATACTACTTAAGCCAAAAAATCTGAATTACACTTCCATATACAGTAACACACGTTCCTATAGGCATGTACACACGTACAGTATGTAGCCCAAACGTTGCTTTTTAATAGTATTAGAAAAGCTACAAGATTTTCCTATTTTTTAATTGTATTAGAAAATCTAGTGGGTTATTTTCTACTTGAGTCTGCAAGAAAGTATTTCATAGTGTGTTATGTACATATGCAACTGATTATTTCCTGAAGCAGAGGCAATAAAACTTCAGTTTGTACTACTTACAGTCCCAAAGGCGTAGGCAATCTGGAATGTAAAGAAGTTTTAAATTTTGCATCTGAACTCTACTGAACTCTTGGCCAGGGAGTGTGAATTCAGGCTGCAGATGGCTTTTTTCAACAGACATCAGTATTTTAATCTAAAGAATGTTTATACTTCCTTCATCTTCTTGCTAATTAGTAAACTATATTGAGCAACAAAACTTTGTTCTGCTTGACTAGTAAGCTACTATCATATCCTGTCTGCAAGGGGTGGATGTTTTTCAAATGTCCCTTTAAAGCAAGTGAAATAATTCTATTTCGCTGATCAAAATGAATAATGCATCCTTCAGAGAAACCTGGAAACCCAGAAGAATCTCAATAATTCACCTGTTTGTAAGCATCAAGTGGGTCTTGTGGACAAGATATTGTAGTGGGCAGAGGAAATGGCCTTGAACAACAGGAAGAAGAGCCGCTACCAAGGCAATGATCAGATAAGAGGGGCCTGAGCCCGGGCCAAGGAAGTAACTTGAGAAGACGTCTCAGACAAGTCCCTCCCTAGTTCACATGAAGAAAAAGTTAGGTTGGGAGAAGCACATTCAGACTTGCAAGATTCTGTTATTATAGCTGTTACAATAAAAGTAGTACTGACCTGTGTGGCATTGGTTTCCTAGTCTGGTCTACCCTGAAGGGCTGACACATATAGGATTGCTTTCCAGTCCACAGTCAGCATTGTCTGGCTGCACTGTAGGCAGACACAGTGCAAATGGACATGTACTGCAGCAGAAAACTAGTGTAACATTAGATATGACCTTTTAATTCCAGCAAAATGGCTGAGGCAAATGGTTATATGAAATGTTCCACATGTGGTTCCCTTCCACAGATAAAGCCTTGCATTGTTGAGCTTTGGGTATTGATTGTTCATCTTCCTGCCTCACTCACCAAAGTGTGTTGTTGTACCTAGAGGTTATGGTGGAGGTATCGCAACACCTTTGCTTTACATCCCATGGCAAGATGACACGACTTCCTAGGGATCTCCATAGACCATGTTCGCAACACACATAAAAAACAGGCAGAGCTTTCATCGCACCATTGTGGGCACCATCTTGATTTTATTTTTTTTACCATGCCCTGCAGAGACCTTTGTCTCTCCCCTGTTCCTTTAAGTGTTCCACGAGTCCTTGTTTCTCTTAATGAAAGAGGTCTCTTGTTTTTCCTTCCATAGCAATTGTGCCCCGCGTGTGCCCACCAGTTCCTTTACCAGAAAAGCAAGGAAAAGGTAAGGAAAAAATGTGATGGAATGTCTCTACAAGGAGGAGAGTGATGTGGGAGATCAAGGCCATCAGGAGGGAGAGGGTGCGTTCCAGGAGGGGAAAGGAGACAAGAGACAATGCGGTCCTCAGGGGGAGTGTGGGAAGTGAAAGAGGTTCAGGATAGCCACTCCCTAGAATCTCCCAGGGTATATCCACCAGTTGCAGTAGTATAGATTGATTTTGGCAAGATTCTGTCTATAAGGTGTAAGCAGATAAAGGAACTATACTCGACTGGCCTGTTTCACC